TAAGAACTTTAATACGCTTTAGTTGATAACTGTATACCTATATAAGCACATTAAACCTTTTTTTTTAGTTATGCAGTAGTATATAAAGGCGGTCTCTAACCCACAATAATTGGGTTAGAACCCTCACTGTGTAAAAGTATAGGAAATAAAAAATAATTGGGTTTGAAACCTCACTGTGTAAAAGTATAGGTATATGTGTTTGAAACCTCACTGTGTAAAAGTATAGGAAATAAAAAATAATTGTGTTTGAAACCTCACTGTGTAAAAGTATAGGAAATAAAAAATAATTGTGTTTGAAACCTCACTGTGTAAAAGTATAGGTGTATGTGTTTGAACCCTCACTGTGTAAAAGTATAGGCATATCAATTTGTGTGTGTTTGTGTTTATGTGATTTGTAGACATCCTGAATTAAATAAGTGGCTGATGAAATAGTATATGCATTTTAGTGGAATTTGACCTTTCATGTGACAAACGGAAATGTATTAAATACCAAAAACCAATGACCTAGTTTTTTTAATACATGCATTGCCAAAATACCTAATTAGCAGACTGATGCAACATTTGTTATGATTATTTTTGCGGAATTCGATGACCTTGTAGTGCTTTACGATCATTGTGAATGGAAATTGATTTAATTAGTTTTCATGCACATGCAATGACCTACAGTTTTTAATAAATGCATTCAGTAAATAATTAGTATACTGTTGCAACAATTTTTTTATATTTATGTTTAAAAGATCCTTGCTAATGAGAATTTGAAAATTAATTAAATTCCTCATCCCTACCCACAGACTGCCGATTTGTATAAATAAGAGGGCATTTTTTTTACACGGTAGTACACTATAATTGTAATTTTGCTTACATTTTAAATTCAACACATCAACAATATTCGTCAAGATGAATGCTTTAAACAAATTAAACGACTGTAACAATTCCTTCAAAAAAATCGCCGAATTGGATGTTGGAAAGAAATATAAAGTCAGAAAAATGGAAAAAATAACGACAAAGTATGGAGACTCAATTTTAGCATTTTTAGATGATTTTGCAACTCCTTTTATTCTGCCAATAAGATTCTCAAAATTAATCCCCGAACTTGAAAAATTAAATAAAACTTTTCTTAAAAACGATATATATTTGCAGAAAGAAGAAACTATTAATAAGTTTACTCCAATTAATTTTGTATCAAAATAAATATTTAAAAAATAGTTTAAATAAAACAAAAGGTTTGTATTTAAATTGAAATATACTTGAATTGTAAACACCATTTTTTTTTTCAGTTCAACTAATTTTTTGGAACAACAACAAAATGATCTTCAGCAACAACGTCAAAAGCTATTAAAAAAATTAAAAATTATTCAAAAAGAAGTACAGTTGGAAATAGACATATGTGAAATGATAATAATGTTTAAAAATTTAAAAATTGAATAAAAGTATTATTTATTTTGGTATTATATATAAATATATTTTTAAAATTTTAGTTACATTATTATTTAAACTCTTACTATGTAGTTCAGCTTTGTTGTGAAACAGTGTTAATGATATGTAATTATAAAACCATATATATTAAATAAAAAATATAATCGAAAAAAATATGTTTTATTTTGTGTGTATGATTGTGTGTGTGTGTGTGTGTGTTTAAAACTTAAAATAAAAAACACTTAAAAAAATAAATCTTTATTTATTTTTTTTAATTGCAAAACAAAAATATTTTATGTTAACAATAAACAAATATTTTAACTGTTGTATTCTCCAATGAAAGCCTTGCAATTTGGACAGAAATGCTGTTTGCTTTGACAACCATTTATGCAGTAAGGGATGCAACAGCATAGCCAACATCCAAACACAAAAAATAAGGAGCTGAACAGATGTGTTTTGGTGTTTGGAGTTACGTTCACTATGCTTCTAATTTGTTCTTTACAATTTGGACATGTTATAAATGCTGGAGACGGTCCCAAACTTACAAATTCATATTGTTTTTTGTTTGGATAGATTGTTGTTGGATGGTTTTCCATTTGTAACTAAACGTTCTTTTCTTTTCACCTCAAACTACTCAACTGAGCACCACTTTCTGATGTTTGGCTTTTTAAATTTGTTAGTTTTTATGTTTTTGGTTTAAAAATAGAATTTTTATTGCTTAAATAATATTATAATTTTAAGATAACTGCATACCATATGTTTTGTTGGGATAGGTAAGTTAGTAAAACACACAAGTAAATAGTTTATGTTTTATTCAAAAAAAAATTCTGTTCCTGTTCCTGTTCCTGTTCCTGTTTTTGTTCTAAATGATTTTCTAAAAAATAATAATAAATTGAAACATCAAAGCTAGACTACTATTTTAATTCATACAAATCACTTGCAACTTAACTTACTAGTTTCTTTCCTGATGTCTAATGCTATCTCTATTTCTTCTTTTTCATTTACTTTGTTATCTCCTGACCAAATTTCTTCCACATAATTTAAAATTTTTTCTCGCAACGCCGAAATTCTTTTATTTAAGTCCATGTTTGGGATATTTTTTGAATGAATACAATTAAAAAATTAATGTATTTATATAAAAATTTTACATATAAAATGGGGAGACAAAAACCTGACTTATATCCGTTAATTATTTAAAGTTTGTACATTTCAATAATTATTAAGTAATATTATATAAATTTTTTAAAAGATTAACAAGCTTGTGTACATTGATGCATATCACATTTTTTTTTGTATCCTTTTCAATTTCTTGAGAATTTTATAAAACACCATCATTCTATTTTTTAAAATTTAAAATGCATAATTGTGTTTCAAAATATGCTGATTTTACTTTTGTATAATGTAACTTTTCTTGTTAACATGTGTTTAATGATAAAAATAAATGCTGACATGACAATTATTTTCATATAAAACTTTTTAAAATTATAATTTAATTTTATTTTACAAGAAACGTTTGTCAACTTGTTTTTAATTTTTGTTGTAAAGTTATTTTAAAAAAAATGTTTTTTACAAGTTTTATTAAATGTTTTTTACAAGTTTTGTGTGTAATAAAAATGGTTAATTTGGCACCAGTAAACCAAAAAAATAATTTATCAAGACGATGTGGTGGTAGTTTGCAAACAAATTGCGATGAAAAAATCGCTTTCTGCAATAAAGAAAATTATAGACTAAGTTTAGAAACCCAGGATATGCGCAAAGAAATCGATGAGTTGGAAAACAATCTGAATAGAGAAGAAGAAAAATGTAAATTGACGGTGGAAATTATGAAAGAACAATATGTAGAAGAGTGTAATGGACAAGTGTTAAGTGCAAAGGATTTAGTTAAGGAATGTTATAATAAAGTGAAAGGACTCGAGGAGGACAATGTTAATATAGGTTTATTAAAATTAGATTTAGAAAGTAAGTTAGATTTAATTAAAAATTTAAATAAAACTATAGAGGATTTACAATGGGAAAATGTAAAATTAAATGAATCATATGATAAACAAAAAAAAATGAGATTAAAATGGTTAAAAAATTTTAGAAAATGTAATAATAAGGAAAAAAAAATAAAAAATTAAAATTGTAACTGTTTGTTTATCATATGATTCATTTAATTTTATATTTTAATATTATTTAAGATAGTTTAAGATATTTTAAGTTAATTTTTAATTTTTGTAGTTTTTAAGTTTTATGGTTTAAATTATTTGTAATATTTTTTAGATAGATGTGTAAGATAGTTTAAGTTGTTTTTTTTTTAATTTTTTTATAGTTTTTAAGTTTTGGTTTAAGTTATGGTTTTTTTTGTTTAAGTTAAGTTTTGCTTTAAGTTATTTTTTAAGAGTTAATTTAATATTTTTAAAATAAAAATTATTTATACCAAACAATTTTTGTTTTATTTATAAATTATATAAATTTATCAGTTTGAATAAATAAAGATGAAATTTTTATTGCTTACGTAATATTTTATTTTTGTAAGAGAGATAACCATGCAGCATACATTTTTATGACTGCATTATCTTTGTTTTGTTGGGATAGGTAAGTTATTAAAACACACAAGTAAATAGTTTATGTTTTATTTAAAAATATTTTATTTAATACATTTCACTTTCACTCATATACCCTTCATCATCAACATCATCCTCATCTGTAAATTCCTGTTCCTGCTGATTGTGTTCCAACTGATTTTCTAATAAATATGAATAATTTGAAACATCAAAACCCCACTCCTCTTCTAATGCATACAAATCATCGAGAGGTGTTAAAGATGTTGTAAAACATTGTGCTAATTTTATAATGTCTTCAATGGTTAATGGCTTAAGCATGCCGTTATTTGAGTAATACACCGACATGTTTAGTCGTTTTATTATTAATAAAAATATTTAAAAAAAATTATCATTTATAAAAACTATTCTAAGAGTGGGGGGAATAAACAACATTTTCAAAATACCAATCTCTAAATAAATTTACATTTTCATTGGTGCAATTTAAATGATTAAATACATGTTTTCCGCAATGATAATTTTGTTTATTTATATTTGAGTTTTTTAATTTTAAAATACTGGGACAGTTTAAATTTTCCAAGTCTACAATATTTATATTTTGAAAAATAAACGAATTTAACCATTCAACTTTTTGCCTACCCTTAACAAAAACCGTTTCTACATTTTTCATATCATTGATTTCTTTATTTAATATTGAATTTAATTCTGAATAGTAATAGACATTTCGGTTTCCGCAAGTTTCCCATTTAAGACCGTGAATATTTTCTGTTAAAAAATCTATTTGTTTTCGAAATTTTTCCGACAACGAAAAGTATTCTCTATTATAATTAAAAATAAAATGTTTAGTTTCTCCCAAATAAAGAATTGATAATTCTTTACATATAAAATTGCTATTTTTATACTGAAAACCTTGAAAATCGAGAAAAACAAAATTTGATATATTACTTAAATTCTCTCTTCGTAAAAAAAGTAAATGTATGTGTTATATTCTTCTCCTTATATATCACGAATTAAACCCGTAAGTGGGGTATAATTAACAACTCGATCGTGTAATATCAAACAATAAGCGGAAGTATTGTCTGCCATATCTTTGGTGCATTCGAACTCGATTCTGACCTCGATAACACCATAATTTAGGACATCGTTTTGTCTCGAACAATCAATAACTGCTAATGGAGCAATACTTTTAAACTCTGATGGATTAAAAAGTGGTTCATTGTCACGTTCGTAGTATGAATGTTGAAAGTTTAAGTACATTTCATACAATATAGAATATTGATTTTTGTCATAGTCAATCGATATTGTGTCGTATGGATATAACTCCCCATTGAGCATAATTTTAATTTGTTTTAAGTTACAATTATCAAATTTACCATTATTTTTATTAAAACTATTTTTACGATCTGTCTGAAAACCCACAATAACATAACGCGGTTTTTCCAATTGTGTAGTAGATTTAACATTCCACGTGTGGCTTTTTGTTTTTTGCAATAATGGATATTCTACTAATTCCCAACTTCTAAAAGCAATCTGCAATTCGTTTCCGCTCTCAAGATGTTGTAATAGTTTTAATTTTTCATCATCGGCAACCGAAATATGAGGCATTTTCCACATCATTTTGTTAATTTTTATTTTATTAATTTCATTAGCAACGCTGTTATAAATTGCATTATGATCAGAATTACTTCGAATTAAAACTAATTCTTGTCTTAAATTTATAATAATTTTTTTAAAATCTTCAGCAAATCCTAAAATTGTGTTTAAAGGTACACATAAATTAAATTCACCGGTTGCGGGGTTGTTTACATCAACTAAACAATCTGCATCAATATTCCAACCAGCGTTTTTTAAACGATTAACATTATTTTTATTGAAAGACGTGTATCCTTTAAGGGTTGTAGTTACTCCTGGATTTCTTACACGATCAATAGTTTTCCCCGAAAGCTCATATCTAATTTCACTAAATAAATGATTGAAAAAATTATTTACCAGTTTTGCAGTACTAGATACTGAATTATTATCTTTTAATAATTTTCCTTCGACATATAAATAACTTTGACTGGGTAGTGTAAATAGATGTGTTTGTGGTATGACAATTCGTATTTCATCATTGTTTTCAAATGCGCTAGAATTATATGGTAGATGGGAATGTTTTTCTACATTTACTAGAGAATTATCCGAAAAAACTCTATCATTTACGTTTAAAATATTCATATTTTGTTTTTATTTTAAAACCCAAAGATTTTAAGTATTTGATATTAACAGGTGTTAACTGGTTAACCGTTTGATTAACACTAACAGAATTTGTTATTGAAGTTTTGTTATATTTTAGAACCATTTTTTTTTCTGCTGCTACTACTCAGCCTTTAAATGAGCTCTTATCGTAATGGTCTCTCCTCTGAAATTGAGCAAATCACCATTCTGATCGACTATTTTAAAGGTTATATTATTGATTATTTTTGTATTTATTGGTAAATAAATAACATTTAATGGCGATTCAACAATTTTAAATCCTGCTGCTACCGTGGGAAAAAATTCATGCAATGTATGACCTTGTTTTCCATTATCATAAGATCCCATCACGATATTGCATAAAATTTTAATTGCGTTTACTTTCATTATGTCAACCGGTTTTTTTGAGGTTTGTTTAATATTTGCTTTAAGTTTTTCATTATGAAACCCCAATAAATCTCCAATTGAATCGGTTTTGGTAAAATCAATAACGTGTGTACATTTAATTTCACATTCGAGTGTATTTAAATTTGGTTCTAAAGTTAAAAATAATTTATCATTAGGGCTTTGTTTTTTGTTTAACTCATGAATTTTGTTATTCAAAAAATTGTTAATATTATCGATATCATATGTTCCTTCGGGAATTTCAATGTTAAATTTGTCAATATAAAACATATTTTTGCCTTTATAAATATTTGGTATTGCATTATATACTTCTAAACTTAAAAGTCCAATAACAAAATCATTATCAAAATCTCTTAAATCTATTGGTGGATAAAAATCCGCGCTCAATTCAGATTCCTTACCCGAAAAACTAAACGTCCTCATTGTTCTACTACTACTATTTTACTAACAAACATTTACGAATTATGAATTATTATATAAGAATTTTAAACATAAATGTCCACAATTAAAAGAATTATAATTTTGAAACTGAGTATGATTATATGTGATTTTTATAGGTAAAGTAGAACTGTAAAAATAGTCTACAACTTTTGTAGGCGGCTTAAGATTACCAAAACTATCGTAATATAAAATGTTTTTATTTTTTTTAATGTATGAAACCCAGTGAGTTCCCACACCCTTACTATCATCTAAATTTATAATTCCACATTCAAATTGTTTTATTTTATTAGGTAAATTGTCCTTCATAAACACTCCGCGAAAGTTATTAAGTTTTAATTTTTTAGCAAATTTATTTAAGTCGATATTTGTTAGAGCTCGTTTTGGTAATCTTTCTATGGAAAATTTTTTTTTTTGTAATATGAATAGGGATTTACAAATAAACCGAGACCTTTTTTGTGCTCTTTTAATTGCAATCCCTTTCCCATAGCTATGGTCTCCATTTTTTCGTTATGTCTTTGTTTTTCTTTAAGATCTTCTTGCGCTGTTTTTGCTTTATTAACAGCGCTCGCGATCGAGCTAGCACCTCCGGCCAAAGCTCCAAGAGCGCTCAACCCCGCAAATAATGGAATTAAAGGTAAAAATCCACCGGTTTTTGGTAAAGCAATAATTCGAGCTGGTTTTTTCTTTTTATTAATACCTTTAACCGCTTTTACAGCAATATTAATAGCAGATTTTATATTTTTAGGATTTCTATTTCTTAAAGCATCTTTCGCTTTTTTTATTGCTTTATTAAATGATATAGCTTCCCCCACTACCACTCTTTTATTCTTCTTTACTTTTCTATATTTCCTTTTTTTCTTTTTTATTTGTTGTTTTAAACCCATACCAAGTTTTACTTTTGCTTTCATGGCAGTTGTAACACCTAAAGCAGCTAATTTTTCGCCAAAACTAGAATCACGAGCTTTAAGTCTTTCTAAAGCACTATTCGCTAAAATTTTATCTGCTTCGTGTCGTTTATCTAATTCCTCGTTTTTCGAATAAGCAATGTCGTGAACTTTACAAGCTTCATCCAACGGATTTACACCCTTATCGTTTCGTGCTAATCGTTTATCGAGCTTTGTTCCTGGTCCACAAAAATTATACCCCAAAATATGCAATTCAACAGGTAATTTATTAATTAGTTTATTAACAAACCCCCTACCACCTTTCTGTCGAATGATGTTTTTGCGAATGATAATATTTTTATTGTAACGCTTCATTTATAACATGTATCTATATTGAAAGTTAAAATGAGACTAAAGTGTATTTTACCAATTTGTTTCTAATATAAAAATATTGCAAATATTTAAAAATGTTTAGTCTTAAACAATGCATTTAGTTAAACAGACGACTAGTTTCAAGATAAAAAATTTTGATGATGATGCGCAAATTAATAAACAGCAAAGACATGGTGTTTTGTTACCATCTACTATTCGGTGCATAATTTCAGGCCCATCTAATTGTGGTAAAACGAACATAATGATAAATTTACTTGAAAACATAAACGGCTTACGTTTTGAAAATGTATATATTTTTTCCAAGTCTTTATACCAACCGATCTATAAATATTTAAAGGAATTATTTAAACCTATAAAGGGTATTAATTATTATGAGTATAACGATAATGAAAATATAATATCACCATCGAAGGCAAAATCAAATTCTGTTTTTATTTTCGATGATGTAGCTTGCGAAAAACAGAGTATAATAAGAGATTTTTTTGCAATGGGTAGACATAATCTTATCGATTCATTTTATTTGACGCAAACTTATGCTCATATACCGAAACATCTTATACGTGACAATGCTAATATGTTGATAATTTTCAAACAAGACGATATGAACTTAAAACATATTTATAAAGATCATGTTAATACTGACATGACCTTTGATAAGTTTTATAATATGTGTTCATTATGTTGGCTCGAAAAATACGGTTTCCTTGTAATATGTAAAGAATTCGATATTGATAATGGTCGCTTTAGAAAAGGATTTGATCAATACATAATTTTATAAACAGCTAAAACAGCAAAAACATCTAATAACAGCATGCTGTTTTTTGAAAAACAGCTTACTGTTATTTATAAACAGCTAAAACAGCATGCTGTTTTTTTTTAAAAACAGCTTACTGTTATTTAGAAACAGCTAAAACAGCATGCTGTTTTTTGAAAAACAGCTTACTGTTATTTAGAAACAGCTAAAACAGCATAAAAAACAGCAAAAAAACAGCAAAAAACAGCATGCTGTTTTTTGAAAAACAGCTTACTGTTATTTATAAACAGTACTCCTGTTTTTTAGTTGGTTTTTGATAAATTTTAAATATATATGATTGTAATGTAAAATTAAATTTATTATAACAAAAACCATTCCAACATTAACACGCACAAATATGCTAAAAAATATGAAAGGTAAAATATTAACCAAAAAAATAATAAAAATTAGAAAGGATATCAAAGCTAAATTAAATGCTATTAAATCGGGTAGACTTCAAACAGAGTATGAGTTGGAACCATTAAAACAATTAATATCAAAAGTTTCACCGCAGCCACCTCCATTGGTAGATTTTAAAAAGGAAAAGGAAATAAAAAGCGAGCATGATGTTAAAAAAAAAGAATTACCACCTAGCCCTATAAAAAAGAAAAAAACAAAAAAAACACCAGTACCACAGTTTATTGACGATGGTGAAATATTTGATAGCACATTACGAGACGATACATTACGAGACAACACATTACAAGACAGTTATTTTTACGATGACAGTATTCGCGAACAGCAATTTGATACCATGGATGATTACATAAATCAAGATTCATCTTTTAATTTGTATTTAGATCAATTTGATGAAATGCCTCGTGAATATGTTAAAGGATTTATACGAGACACTGAAAATAGATTTGACACACATTATTTGACTTACGACCCTGTTTTGGGAAAATTTAATCATGGAGATTCAGAAATGGATTTTAAAGGAAATGATATTGTTATAAAGGACAACAATAGAAAAAAAGAAGATAAAATATATAAGGGTACTTTTGGTTTATATGAATTAATATTTAAAAACGAACCAAACGAAAGTTTAATAACGCCAGAAGATAGAAACACATATAAAAGTATTATATTGAGCACAAATGCACACAAAAGAAATTTTAATGCAAATGCACAAAAAGCAGGAAATAGAGGTATTAAGTATATAAATGTAATTAAACCCATACTTGATTTAGAGGAATCAAACATATTACAAACTGAAAAACAATACAGATCGAAATTAAGAGCGCCACAACAACAACGTCTTGGAAAAGGATTACAAATGCAATACACAAATAAACTAAAAGAATACGTGCATTGGGATGATTGTAATGAGCTAGTTGAAAGATTAAGATTATTAATTAGTTCTCAATTTGCTGGGAATAATAGTCATGTGAATGAAATAAACAGCATAATTGAAGAGTTAAAAGAAGCTAATATAATTGAATAGGTTGCAAAAACTTAAACATTTTTACTATGTCTGTTGATAAGTTTGGACGTGGGTTGCATAATCACTTAAGCAAAAAGCAACTAAAATCTGCATATGGTTTATTAAATATTACATTAAAAAGTGTTAATTACATAATTCAATATCCAAAAGTTGTCTATGATTTAAGTTATGGTTATTCAATCTATGAATTTCCATTAAAAGAGGGAATAATAAATCACGTAACTGTTAATAATCAAACTTTTCAAATCAAAATAAACAATCAATTGTATACACACGATACATTGCTAAATATAAAACTAAGATTAGGCGATAAAATTTCAATAGAGTCATCTAAACCTATTGAGCATGTTTTTCTAGAATTGATTATTAAATATCCCATTTTAACTGAATGAAATAAAAAAACAACATGCCAAAAAAACGCAACAACACAAAAAACCACAAAAAGGTTTCAATAGATTATAAACGGAAAATAGTTACTGAATTGCATGCACCAGCAAGAAAAAACTTTAAACGTAGAAGGGTTATTGTTCGTGGATTAAACGATTTAATGCAATGTGATCTCGTAGAGATGATCCCTTTTTCAAAACAAAATAAATCTCACAACTATATATTGGTCCTTATTAATGCCTTTAGCAAATTTGTGTGGGCTTTGCCTCTTAAAAATAAAACTGCTAAAGATGTAACACAAGCAATAAAAACAGTTTTAATTAAACCAAATATTCCAAAAAATCTCCAGACCGATAATGGAAAAGAGTTTTATAATAAAGATTTCAAAAGTCTTATGGATAAGTTAAAAATTAATCATTATAGTACATATAGTACTAAAAAAGCATCTATTGTTGAGCGAGTAAATAGAACATTAAAATCTTTAATGTGGAAGGAATTTAGTTATCAAGGTAGTTATAAGTGGTTGGAATTATTGCCTAAAATAGTATCTAAATACAATAATACTATCCATAGCAGTATCAAAATGAAACCGATAGATGTAAATGTTCAGAATGAAAAGATGTTGTTAAAATCATCAGCGTTTAGCAATATAAAAATGTCAAGTTTAAATAACAAATTTAAAATTAAAGACAAAGTGCGCATTAGCAAATATCGCGAAGCTTTTTCAAAGGGTTACACACCAAACTGGTCAAATGAAATATTTACAGTGAAACAGGTTAAACTAACAAACCCCACAACTTACATTCTAGAAGATGAGAATGGAAAACCTATTTTGGGTGGTTTTTATGAATATGAACTGCAAAAGGCACAGTTTCCCAATATTCATTTAATCGAAAAAATTGTAAGACGAAAAGGAACAAAATTATATGTTAGATGGTTTGGTACAACGAGCCCCCCGTATAGTTGGATCGATAAAAAGGATTTATTTTAATGTGTTATTAGTAAATGTATTTTTTGGTTAAATAAAACAATTTAAAAATTTTAAAGTATTTTATTTTTTCACACACAACATTATAAATATCTACAATACATATTATTTAACGATCTCTTTCCTAATAATTATTGCAATAAAAAAGAATACAAACCAAAAAGATGAAATTGTTAATAAAATAGTAGATACTTTGTATGCTAAAAGTTTTGAGTTTGTTTTAATTATTAATCTGTTTAATGCGGTAAAATTTGTTAATGCAGTATTTAAATCATTTAATTCTACATAAGTTCTATCTGCTAAATAATATTTTAATTTAAAATGCAATAAATATGTGTTGGATGAGTTGATGTTTATTTCACAGCCATCATTGGTTCTGTTCATAATAAGAAAATCCTGAGACCATTTTTCATGAAGCGTGATGTTTTCAGAATTAAAAGTGATGAAACATGTTAATGTATTTCTTGGATAATTAACATATAACGTATTATTTATAAAGGATGATAATAAAACAAACTTTACTGCAACGAAGTTCATCATCATGTTATTTGATGAAATAAATGTTTTTAACTAAATTCATACATACCTTACAATTGCTTATATCTGAAAGAAAAAAAAAAGTAGGAAAATAAAACTCAATAAATATGTTTATAGTGTTTTTATTAAATATCAAATTTATCAAAAGGTTTTATAATTTTAAATGTTTCTATGTAATCTTGCGGTTCTGTAGATGGCCAAATACCACTGTTTGGACCTTCTTTCCATCCAACCGATTTGTTTTGGTTTATTTTTTCCAAATTATTTAAAATCCATTTGTAAATTTCCTGATGCGATTTTCTTGTAAATGGATTAAACTCAAATTTTGTATATGGTTTATTTACCATCCAATCAAAACAAATTTGCAAAAATTTATAATTTGCATTAAAGATTGCATCACAAACTAAATCATTCATATAAAATAATGTTGATTTATAATTTTTACATACATTTGACATACATAATTTTTCCATTGAAAAATCCATTTTATCTGCTAATAAATTTGTTGCAAACATTAATTTATAATTTGAATCATAATAAAAAATGAAATTATTTATAGCTGTTAAAAGATCTTCTATTTCAATATTCTTGTTAAATGTCAGTGACGATGATGTGTTGTGGTTTTGTAAAACATTTTTCACAAAAATATCAGTATTTATTTTTGATTCTATTATTGTTTCAAACACATCATAATTACAATTTTTTAATATTTTATATTGCAAAATATTATCTGGTACGAATATTTTTTGTAAAATATAATTAACTTCTATTAAATTTAAACTGGAAATATATAATTTTAAATATTTACCATACGTTTCTGTTTGCTGTAAAAATATATCGCGAGATAATTTGTATTGATTCAAATTCATCATTGCATAAGTCAATGTTCTTCACCGACCTACTTTAAGTAACTGACCTGTCTCAATATCCTACCTACGTCAAACATGTTAATTAACCTTGAACGAGTTTCGACTCAAATATTTCATTATTTTTTGCTTATGTAACCCCAAGGTACTGTATCGGTTGTTTCCGTATTAATTACTCGTTTATCATCGTCGAAAGATAATGCGAGTTTTTTTTGTTTCTTTGTAAATACTTGATGATTTCTTGAAATAATTAAACTTTGACTTTTAATTAAATTGGTGCAATTTTGAAGACATTCTATAAAATCATCGAATGTAATTCTTTTAACAACCGGTCTTCGAACTCCTTTTACTTTTTTTATAATTTTATCATATTCAACTTTATAAGCATACATTTTAGCTCTAAGTCCAACAAATTCAGTCATTATTTTCCCTGGTTTTCATCTTTCCATAATCCAAGTTCTTTTTTATTTAATTGCAATATTCCATGCTGGTTATCATGCGAAAAATCGGAGGTATCAAATTTGCAAGGAAATTTTTTAATAATATCATAAATATTTAAATTGGTAAATTCATAAATTAAACTATCTGTATCAGTGTATAATAATTTCGAAGAACAATTACCCAGTTCTTTTTTAATAAATCCATAGTGAAAGTCATATAAAAATGTTTTTTGAAATATCTAAAATTGAAAAACCCGCATATATAGGTTTATCGAAATATATTTCAGTCTTGTTTAGTTCTATTAAAACTAAATCTTTATCAATTATAACACTGTTTTTAAAATTCGGTTTTGAAATTAGCTTTCTGGCCGATTTCCAATTGTTAACAATTTTAATTATCCTATGTTTGCGCACGTTTTCAAGGCATTTTCCGAAAATAGAATTTACCTGCAATTTATAATAATTTTGATCTGATTTAAATTTTGATTTTTTTCTTAATTCCGTATTAAGGTTAATGTATTTTTTTAACCAAGGCGCTTGTTTAAATTTTAATATTCTATGTATTTTTGTTACAATAAGCCCATTTAATAAAGCCTGTTTTAAGGCAGTATAGTGTATAACATACTCTTTTTTATTATATAATGTTGTTAAAAGTTTCTTTTGTTTGGATTTTGAATTCGGTGGAGTTAAATGTTCTGGACAAAATGGCATATCTCTATGTATTTCGTGTAAATTTTCTGGATATGTTAAATCTACCTCTAAAATATAACCTATAGGAGAATTTATACTTGGTAAATTTTGGAGATTAAATGTGCTGGGATTTTCCACCCACTCAAAACCAGCATAGGGAAGGTATCTGCTCATAGAAAACCCGTACATGTTATTTTGGTCCAAAAGAAGAAGATACTTTTCCTGTTTTGAAGAATCATAATTTTCCATAAATTTATTGTTTGCTTTAGCATATCTGTTACAACATTGAGCAACGCCTCCCCGAATTCCATTTTCAATCATCATTATTTGATCAATATCGGTTATTAGCTCTAACTTATATTCGATTGTTTTTAGCATTGCTTGAAAGGAAAATGATGGAGAACTTACAAAGTTTGCCGGATCAAGTTTATATGTTTGTATGCTGGTTTTACGAAAATTTTCATATATATCAGCCAATAAAAGAACATCTGTTTTTAAATATAAATCAGAGTATGTTCCGAGGTTTTCACACTTAAAAGTTGTCCATACATTATGAGCGTTAATGTATTCAAGATCTGATATTTCGCTTTCATTAAGAGAACTATAGAAACACTTTTTTTCGGGCAAAGCATTATCATTTAATTTTTCCCACGAATCCAAGTACTCGAATGGAAAAACCCCTTTTCTGCACAATAAACTAAATTCTAATTCGTTAGCACAATGAAGTCTTGTAATTTTTTTTTGCTCATTATCCAATTGGGATGCTAATGTATCTAAACTTTCAGGCATAAACCGATATGAATCGACAAATCTCAATTTTATATTAGTTCCATCAACAAATTTTGTAAATGAAATGTATTTTTCTTTGGTAGCAGGTAAAACCGTTAAATCACCACTAAAGTTGTTTAATAATTCTTTTATCAAAAAATGTGAGTCATAAGAGCTTAAATTGTGGAAAAAAACAGGTATCGTGTTGATTTTTTTAAAGTTTAGATTGCAACTGTTATGCGCAGGTCCTCGATAATTTGTTTTTAAATTATTTATATCATTAGCGCCATTTGCTAAATGAAAATGGTCTTTAACTTTTAAATCGTTTGGTAAAAAGGGTTTTTCGCAAATATGACAGAGACTTGCTTTTTCATAGTCGATTATTTCAGTACTTGTTAAAGGATCTATTTGTTTTGTTTTAGTATTATGCAGGTTTAATGCAATTTTATTTAACTCCGATATAAACCATTGAATACAACTTTCTTCACGATTCATCGCAAATTTTGACAATGAATCATTATAGGAACACTTTAAATAATAAGCAATACTAAATGGAATGTGTTTTTGAACATAAACAAAGTTTTTTTTTATATTATCAGTGTCACTATCTTGTTCATCGCATTTTTCCAATATGCATTCTAAATCTGCATATATAACAAATGGTGCTATTTGTTTAAACTTATGGTTTTTAAATTCTAAAATATTTTCATTAGCTTTTGGAAGTATAGTTTTACACACGTTTTGATTAAAACAATATTCAAAATGTTTGTCAAGCAAATTTTGATTACCAAAATAATTTAAACATCTATTGCATATAAATTTAGAATTCTTATGTTTGGAAATTTGAGAAGATAATAATCTGGATAAACTTTTTATTAATGTAAAGTGATATTTTTTTCCATCTTTTACCATTAATAAATTTATAAAATTATTTGATTTTATTTTACTTAAGGAAATTGGTACAATACTGTTCTTTTCTTCAATTGCAAAAACATTAATGGATAAGTTATTTAATTTTTCAAATTTCGCAATATTTTTAAGTTTCATGGGAAAATCGATTTTATTATATTTTAATACTTGACTGAATGCAGGATAACTCGATACCCTTTCTGGGTGATGTGGGTTTGGATGGAGTGCTGCCACTATACAGTATAAAAAGCAATATTCATCATTGTTACGTATGTTAATCACAGCTCTTTTATCCTTTATAAATTTAGGGCAATCGATAAATTTACCGATGTTAATTGGCAAATGTTTATTAATATTTATTTTAAGACCAATTATTTCTATTAAACTCCACCCTGAATCACGTTCTGAAAAGTCCTCTAATTTACTTTTGAGTTTTTCCACAACATTTTCAATATACCATTTTTTTAAGTTAGTATTTATATCAATTATTTCATTAGAAGTTGTAAAATGTTTTAGGTCAATTTCTCCCGATTTTGGTTGAATAAAATTTGCATACAAGTTTGAATTTACTTTTAGCATTCCAAGCTGTTTTAATTGTTTATTGATTTTACATGCAAAACTTTTGTATGATTTATGAAAAAACAAATTAATATCTTTAATTTTAACATTAACAATTATTCCAGTTTGTATGCGATTTTTAAAACAAGAAGTTAATTCTTGCCAATATATATTTCCAGTTTTATTATTTAATTTTTTATTATTTAAACCTTTTCCTAATTTAACAAAATTAAAAATTTTTCTTTTTAATTTATTTTTATAATGATTTAAAATTGTCAAGTTTGCTTCTAATTTAAATGCATTTTCATTAGATTTAAAATCAAATTGAATATTTTTAATTGCTTTTCGCACCAAAAAAATATTTTGCTTTAAAATTTTTAAGTGTTTCTGATATTCCTGCTCTGTTTTAAGCAAAGGAACTATTTTTTTATAAGTTTGAATAATATTATCAGATAAAATTGATACAGATGACATTTTTAATAAAGGGTTATCGCAATAGAATTTTTTAAGGTTATAGAAAAAATTAATTCCACAATCTAAAAATAAAATAAATATGTTTAAATAAAGAATAAAAATTAAAAAAATATCTTACCTTAACTTTTAATATATGTAGATATGATTAATTTAATTAATTAATTTTCACTCTATTATATTGGTTTGCTCAACACTATAAAATTATATTATAACTAATTAAACACAGAAAAGAGTTTCCTATTTATAAGATTAATTTGTAAACCAAATTGCTTCACCTTCACAAACTCTCCCCACCAAACACTGCACTTGCTAATTATTTCGGCAATGCATTTATTAAAAACTGTAGGTCATTGCATGTGCATGAAAACTAATTAAATCAATTTCCATTCACAATGATCGTAAAGCACTACAAGGTCATCGAATTCCGCAAAAATAATCATAACAAATGTTGCATCAGTCTGCTAATTAGGTATTTCGGCAATGCATGTATTAAAAAAACTAGGTCATTGGTTTTTGGTATTTAATACATTTCCGTTTGTCACATGAAAGGTCAAATTCCACTAAAATGCATATACTATTTCATCAGCCACTTAATTCAGGATGTCTACAAATCACATAAACACAAACACACACACAAATTGATATGCCTATACTTTTACACAGTGAGGGTTCAAACACATACACCTATACTTTTACACAGTGAGGTTTCAAACACAATTATTTTTTATTTCCTATACTTTTACACAGTGAGGTTTCAAACACATATACCTATACTTTTACACAGTGAGGTTTCAAACCCAATTATTTTTTATTTCCTATACTTTTACACAGTGAGGGTTCTAACCCAATTATTGTGGGTTAGAGACCGCCTTTATATACTACTTTATGCAAATATTAAATATTTAAATTAAATCGCTAGTTTTAATTGGATAATTGAAAGAGTGCATAATATTTTTAATAAACAGCCAATTAAAACAATTCAAACCGTCAAATTTTTTTTATTTTGCTCTTAAAATTTTAGTTATGACCTTATTAACAAGAATATAAAAAAAAATTTGGTTTCACAGAAAGTCCAAAAATCACCTCTCAGAACAGCACCGTGATAAGGAAAATAAGGTTTGAGGTGACAAAAAAATTATTGTGGAAGTTTGAGTCCATAATATTAATATGAAGACTCATTGAAGAGGTTTATCATCGCAATTTTAATTTTTAAGTTTTTTTCTCAGAACTCCAAAACTATTGAGTTTAACAAAATTGACTCAGAAATATTTTTTTAAGTAAATTTAATGCTCTACAAAAAAGGTTAAAATGTAATTTTCCGTCAGATGAACCGTTTCCTTAAAGTCATGCCTTAAAAATTGGTATAGTTTTACATTTTGATCTTTTAACTTTGGAATTTTGTAATTCATGTAAAAATCAGTACCCAGAAAAAAACGATGAATATTCTTATGGGAAATCAAATGCTTTACAAAAAAAAGCCTCTTAACATTTTTGGCTAAATTCACTCAATCAAAGGTTATTCAAGGTTAAAGTTTAAGTCAAAACGAAATTCTTGTTTTTTCCTCTGTAGATTTATTTTGTATGGGTGATAATTTGATTTGCTTCTTTATAAATGTGTATTATGTAACTAATTAACAATTTCCAATAAAAAAACAACATAATTGTTATTATAGGTTTAAATAGGTAACAGTGAAAATAATATTTTCTAAAGAAAATAGGTTCTTAAAGTGAAAAAACTTGTTTGTTATTTTTTTTTAAATTTTCAGTAATTTTATCAATAACATAAAGATTTTCATCGATAAAAGAATTCAAGTTTTTACTGACCTTAGTTTTATAACAAAGATTTTTTTAAAAAAATTATCGACAATTGGCCAAGAGTCCTAATAGGATGTTCCACTTTAAGGGCAACTAGTATGTGCATAGGAAGAAGTTTAAAGAGATAGAGAGGTGGGAGAAACCTTGGCGATGGAGCTGGTGTAATTTTTTATTCTTTTTATTTTATTTTATATTTCATGTATAATCATTATTCTTATGTATGTTCATTAATTGTTAATAAACCGCTCCTGGTTTTATTAATTTTATTTTTAAATATAGGTGGTAACGGTTGGCAGACATTTTTGAAGTTGATTTATAAATTTATTCCCCTTAATTTAACGTGATGTACATTGACATGCTTATTCATTAAAATAATTTGTTTGCTGTGTCCTATACGACACCTTTTAGCAGTAATCGGACATATAGCGGTCACTAATTAGAGTAATGGACGATAATAATAAGAGATTGTTATTACCTGGATGCAAACACACACAGGGAGATATATATGTGATGTCCTCAGGTAATTATAATAGGTCAAATGCAATTATGCAAACCATAGTGCGGAATAAACCTTCGTTCGTTTATTAATAATAATATAACAAGTATTTTCGATAATATTTAAAAATATGCCTCGTAAGTAAAATGATGTGTGCGGCTAAGCAGTGCTTCGCTCAATCGCCTAAAAAGTACCACTAGTAGCTACTTTACACCTTATAATATGTATAAGACATTATTTTCATAAAAAACCAATATGAAAATTGTTTCGTTCAAGATAATTTTAATTAAAATAGGTTTGGAAAAGTTTTGACAAATACACAGAAAGTTTTGTTCAATTCAACAAACTGAATTATTACCACTTCAAACTTGTTTACTGCACCCCGAAAATTGTTTTACCAATAAGAGATATTTAAGGTGAAGGAAAAGAATTTATATTGTTATTTAACAAAGAAAAGTTTAGCTTTTACATTTTCAGAACACTCAAATATTTATTGAAAAACCATTAAACAAAAAAAAATTAGAACTAAATATCGCGACTTAATAATGCTAATTGCAGCTGTATTTTAATTTGTCAAGTTGTCCAAGTAATAAAAACACGAATTTAATTGCAAATGTCACTTTGAAAATGAAAATATTAAAACTTTTCAGTTGAGAGTAAAGTTTTCCGTTTAATATTTTATAGTTTGCAGTCAAAATAATTGTAAAGCAATAACAACTTTCTTTTTTATTTATTTTTGGGTCTTATGTTAATATGAGCAAGCTTTTTATTGGAAATATTACACCAGCAATTTATAATACTGTGTTCATAAAAGTTCAATTGATATCAGGAGCCAAATCAAAATCACGATTGTAATATACATCGTGAGCTGAATGGAGATAAAGAATTTGATTTTGAAATATATGTACACTCACAGGAAAAATAATCGATCCACAAAAATTTTTGATGAAATTCAATCGCAAATAACTTTTTTATTTGATGTCGGATTTAAACAAATATTAAAGAATTTTGTAGATAAATTAATAGAGAATCGCTTAAGACATTTAATTTACAAAAAACAATTTGATAGCTTTTGAAGGCCTTATATGACATGTCCATGGAGTTGTAAGTATGGGATGATTCAACAAAACTGTCACTGTCATTCTCCATAGGCTATGGATGGACCATAGCAGCTTTAGTTGTACAGAAAAAATATTGGAAATTGCAATATTTTTGTGGAAAATATGGATTTTTTAAAAATACA